CGGAAGTCTGTATGGGCCCCGGGGACGGGGAAACCCGAAGCCCATCGTGGGTGTGGAACGAATACAGAATATCCGGCCCCGATCCGCCCCGTTGCCGAGCCTACTTGTATATCAAATTGCCTCATTGTGGAAAAGGTTCATCCAAACAACTCTTAAGTGAGATGTGACCTTCTATCTCAGCCTATGGACAGTGCTGACAAAATTGTCTGTGGTCAACATAACAAAATCGCTTCTCATCTTGACACAATGTAATGGCCAAATCTGTTCTCCAACCCAAAGGAGACATTGTAAGAGCATAATTACCGGTACAGGTCAAAGGCCTAGGCTGAGAGAGAAGATTGGGGGCCAAGGCGATTATGAGTCTCAGAGTCTGGGGAAGTTGGCGCCATTGCTAGTTTTCTGTCACCCGATGACCGCACTCGCTCTCTTAGTCCTAAACTAAACCCACGCAGGCCTACAAAACCAAGCAAGCAGCATAAATGCCGCAATGCCTCGCCCGTCTTCGCTTCCTCTTCTTCTCCCCTCTCAAACCTTCTGCTGCACTCCTCTTCTCTTTTCCTTCTAGCCTTCGCCACCGCTCTTTCCTCCCCATCCTATCTTCTTCCTCACCATCTCGACGGCAGCGTTCTTCTTCTACCCCATCCAACCGCCGTCCGCAGCAGCCCTCTAGTTTCAGAAGCAGAGGGAAGAGCACATTTAGTGAAGAGGGCAGAGGAAATCGGGAAGAAGGAGGAGGAGCTTCAATGGGGGAGAACGGCCGCGATGGTGGTAATTTCACAGGGTTTAATAAGAAAAGGGCTGAGGGTAGAGATGAAAGTGATCGGCCTAGGAAAAATCTCCACTTGAAGGTCCGGAAGCTCAATCCTACCAACACTATCTCTTATGTACAGGTATAAAACTTCAGGGCTTCTCTTTGCTTTCGATGCGTATCATTCTTTCTCTTAGCTATCAACTTACGAAAGCTTTGCGAGTGTCATAAAGATGGAACCCTTTCGTTGTGAGCCTTAATGGTTATGGATAATCGTAGGTTTGGCGTTCTTCTTCTTGCGCTGTTTTGTAGAGAACCTTCATGCCTACCTTCGTTCAACCATGATCAAGATGTAATTATAGAAAACAATTTCATTTGAGTAAATTCTTCTATGTGTTCACTTCAACTACTTTGAGATGGAGTTTCCTGTCGTTACCTCAAGTTAGTTGTTGCTGATATTGAATGAATTTCTCTATATTTCCAGATTCTTGGAACGGGAATGGACACTCAGGATACTTCGCCTTCGGTGTTGCTCTTCTTTGACAAGCAAAGATTCATATTTAATGCTGGGGAGGTAAAGACAGCTACAAAGACAATTGTTTTTGTTTTTAATTTGTCCTGGCAGTTGCTTATTTATGAAAGTTGTAGAGGTCAGCATTAATTTGGGATACAATTGTCTTCTTGTATCATCGATACTGGGTACGAGGCTACGAGCAGAAGAAACTAGTTAGTTCTACTGAACAACTTGATGTTATATGGTACATGTGTATGGCGTGGTGACTGATCATTGAGATTTGGAGATGAGATTATATGGTTGAACTTAGGATATGCTATTTTAGACTTCTTGATGAAGTTATTGTGCACTGCACATTCTGCTGCTCATTGTCCTGAAGCAGATGCTGAAGGAATGATATCATTTTCTGGTTCTGTACTTGAGTTTACAGTGTAGACTTCTACATTTGCAAGGTCGTAAGTTTACCACCATCCGAAATAGAAAAATAGATGCAGAATCAATCTTTATGAACATGCGAGTAAGTTAGATTAACTCAGGGTCTACACCATGTGCAGGGGTTGCAACGGTTCTGTACTGAGCATAAGATTAAGCTATCCAAGGTATGTGCCACCCAAGATCATATCATAATGAGCGTGTAATTGATGTATGATCTTACTTTCAGCAGCATTCTTACTGACTTCTTTGCTTGGTTTATTATTACGACCGGACAAGGAAAATTAACTCTCTATGCTCAAACATTTTTCAGATCGATCATATATTTCTCTCCCGTGTCTGCTCAGAAACAGCTGGTGGAATCCCAGGACTGTTGTTAACTTTGGCTGGCATTGGAGATGAGGGAATGTCAGTGAGTATCAAATCTCTTTTGTGCATATTAAAGTTCTTGTCCTAGATTTTTTTTATTTTTATAATGTCTTTTCCTAGATATTTATACTTCGGCTCTCCTAGCTTAAACTTGGGTAAGTAAATGATTGCTAAAAGATCACACAACACTGAAATAATTTTGTGTATCCTCTTCCTAAAGGTCAATGTATGGGGTCCTTCAAATCTAAAGTACTTGGTAGACGCAATGAAGTCTTTCATCCCACATGCAGCAATGGTCCACACGAGAAGTTTCGGTTCCGATGCGCCTTCTCATATGGATGCAAGCAAATCGATGGATCCTATTGTGCTCGTAGAGGATGAAGTCGTCAAAATATCAGCACTTTTACTCCGACCAAGATGTTCGTCAGTAATACCTGAAGTAAAGCCGGGTGATATGTCGGTTATATATCTATGTGAACTGCCCGAGATTATGGGCAAGTTCGACCCTGGAAAGGCAAAGGCTCTTGGTTTGAGACCCGGGCCAAAATACAGCGAACTACAATCCGGGAAATCGGTTATATCAGATTGTGACAACATCATGGTCCATCCAAATGATGTCATGGGTCCATGTGTGCCTGGTCCCATTGTGTTCCTTATCGATTGCCCGACAGAGGCTCATGTATATGATCTGTTATCGACATCATCTCTTGATAGTTATTGCTCTGGTAATTCGCCTGAGGAGGATAAGATGGTGAACTGTATCGTGCACTTGAGCCCTTCCTCGGTGATAAGCAGTCCCAATTATCATAAGTGGATGGAGAAATTCAGCTCAGCACAACATATTATTGCTGGCCACCAAACGTGAGTGGAATTTGTTCAATGTTTCGTCTGATGGAGTGAGTGAACCAGTATATGTGCTTGATCTTTTGCTCCTCTTTAAGACTTTAACTGGTTTTCTCCATTTACAGGCGAAATGTGGAAATTCCTATTCTGAAATCCAGTGCCAGAATTGCAGCACGGCTTAATTACTTGTGCCCTCAGTTCTTTCCTGCCCCGGGATTTTGGTCACTCCAGCCACTAAACAACATAACACTAGACTCTTCGGGCAAGGTTTGTGTAATAGGGACTGTGCTTCTAGACTCTTAATTACTTGAGAATTCCTTACCATTATTTTTGGTTTTCCCGTCTTTTGCAGGATCATCCATTTATGGCAGACAAAAGCATATCTGCTGAAAATCTCCTCAAGGTAGAAACTTTCATCACTTGGGGAACTAGCTTTGAAGTGAAGTTAATTCTTGTTCTCATTTTATTAGCTTTTCTTCGCCTTCTTTTCAAAGTAGTTAACTTCGATGTGCATATCACATTCTTGCAGTTCACTCTGCGTCCACATGTCCAACTTGGATTGGACAAGGCTAACATCCCAACCCATCGAACCTCATCAGAAACCATAAGCGAGTTAATCACAGAGATTCCAGAAATTGTGGATGCAGCCAAACACATAAGCGAATTCTTTGACAAACCTCGAGGAGCTTACTCGAACCTATTACGAGACAATAACAGAAACAATTTGACAGAAGATCCCTGGTTGGAAGAGGAAGAAGAGAAAAGAACAACACCGAGTTGCTTACAAAATGTAAGGAGAGACGACTTGGAGATCGTCCTTCTAGGGACGGGTTCATCCCAGCCATCAAAGTACCGTAATGTCAGCTCCGTCTACATCAACCTCTTCTCCAAAGGAAGTCTGATGTTAGATTGTGGTGAAGGAACACTCGGGCAGTTGAAGAGAAGGTATGGCGTGGAGGGTGCTGATAACGCTGTTAGAAAACTGAGCTGTGTATGGATTTCTCATATCCATGCCGATCACCATACTGGGTTAGCCAGAATACTTGCTCTACGACGAGAGCTTTTAAAGGGGACTGCTCATGAGCCGTTGATAGTTGTTGGACCAAGGCAGCTCAAGAGGTTTCTCGATGCTTATGAAAAACTTGAAGACCTGGACATGGAGTTTGTCGATTGTAGAAGTACAACAACAGGCTCTTGGGATGATTTTGAGAGCAACGGTGAATCAAAGGAGATCAATGATTCGACTGAGTCGACTCTGTTTGCTAAATCCAACAACCGTATGCAGAGTGTTTGGACGAGACCAGGGAGTCCAGTCGATAAAGCCACATATTACCCACTTCTGAAGAAGCTGCAGACAGTCCTGAATGAAGCAGGGTTGGAGTCTTTGATCAGTTTCCCTGTTGTGCATTGCCCTCAGGCATTCGGCGTCGCTTTGGAAGCTGCAGACAGATTCAACAGCGTTGGCAAACCGATACCAGGATGGAAGATTGTCTACTCGGGGGACACCAGGCCATGTCCCGAGCTCGTGGAAGCATCTCGTGGTGCCACAGTTCTCATACACGAGGCAACATTTGAAGATGGGTTGATGGAGGAAGCCGTAGCGAGGAACCACAGCACGACGAAGGAAGCCATCGAAGTGGGGGACTCCGCTGGAGCGTATCGGATAATCCTGACGCACTTCAGCCAGAGGTACCCTAAGATCCCGGTGTTTGATGATGCTCATATGCACAAGACGTGCATTGCTTTCGACATGATGAGTGTTAACTTGGCTGATCTCCCTGTCCTTCCCAATGTCCTTCCTTACCTTAAGTTGTTGTTCAAAGATGAGATGGCTGTTGACGAATTGGACGGTGAGGTCCCAGACCAAGCTGCTTTAACGAGCGCTGTCGCTTGACAATGTTAATCAAGATTGTTCCCTCTTTCATTGGTTAGAACTTAGAAGTAGAAAGAGTTTGTCAGTTTGGTAAGGCTACATAAAATAAAAGCGGTTAAATGTTTATTTTGACCCGTTTACTTTGACTCTTTAACAAATGAGTACCAGAATATGATATTATACTTGAACTAAAAGTGACCACTTGTCAAATAAGCTAACGTGCGCCGGTGGCTGACAGAACCACCTGTCTGTAACTTTTTCGGTACCAAAATCTGTCCTTTCCGTCCTCTCTCTTCTCTTCCTTCTTCCTCTTCCAATCCCAAAGCTTCCCTCGTTCTCTCTCTCTCTCCGTTCCTCTTTGCGCTCTACGTAGCTTCGATCCCCTTCACAGCTCGCAACTACCCCGGCGGAATTTCGATCTCTGACTCCCGCGGGATTGGTTGTAAATTAGGCGTTTTTGTTGAATCGGGAGGTAAGGTAGCCGGGGAAATTTTCGTCATGGATTCGAGCAGGAGAGCCGTGGAGTCGTACTGGAGATCAAGGATGATCGACGGGGCTACATCCGACGAAGACAAGGTGACGCCCGTCTACAAACTGGAAGAGGTTTGTGATCTCTTGCGCTCTTCTCATGTTAGTATCGTGAAGGAGGTCTCCGACTTTATCTTGAAGAGGCTCGAGCATAAGAGCCCCGTTGTTAAACAGAAGGTAATTTCCTCAGCTCTTCAGCTTCCTATATGTTCCGTTCTTCAGTGTACTGGCAAATTCCAGGGAGTAGCCACTGCAAGTTACAGGCTTTTCCGCTTGTTTGATTGTGAAAAACTTATGGTTGAGATATGGTGGGCAGGCTCTCAGGTTGATAAAGTATTCTGTGGGGAAATCTGGTGCGGATTTCAGGAGGGAAATGCAGAGACATTCTGTGGCTGTACGGCAGTTGCTTCACTACAAGGGCCAGCCGGATCCGTTAAAGGGGGATGCCCTAAATAAGGGTGTGAGGGATACAGCTCAGGATGCTATTTCTGCTATTTTCTCTGAGGAGAACAGCAAACCAGCTCCAGCACAGATCAGTAAGCGAATGGAAGGATTTGGGAATACAAATTTCGAAATCCGATCATCATCTTCATCAGATGATAGGAAGTCGTTTCTTAGTGAAGTAGTTGACATAGGGAGTGCAACTATCAAGCAGGGACTTAGTAACTTGGCTCAAGGAAATCATCAAAGAAACAATGATCCTGGGAGCTACAAAAGCCCGAATCTTCATCGGTCATTGACGGTGGATCCTGATAATAGTTCAAGTAGATATGAACCAGTCCAGTTGCGTTATGAAAATCATGGCAGTTTTGGGGCTTCAAGGAGCGCTGGTGCTGGATCATGGGGCCAGGATTCAAGATCAGCCAATGCTATGATAGAAAATGGGAACTCGAGCTCCAGTTATATGGAGAGCAAGTCTCGGGAAGAAAGGTTGCTAGAAACCATTGTAGCGTCTGGTGGTGTACGTTTACAACCCACCAGAGATGCCATTCATGTTTTTCTGGTTGAAGCAGCTAAACTGGATGCATTGGCTTTGAGTCGAGCCCTTGAATCCAAGCTCCAATCTCCGTCTTGGCAGGTAGGATTCTTCCCCTGATATCTGTCTATTATGGTATTTGTAAAACATGCTCTTTGGATCCTGTGCCTAGTTTGTACCTGTTACCCCTGTTTTTTTTTTTTTTGTTTTTTTTTATTTGATGTGCTTGTATGAACACTATGATTGTATTTTTTTTTTGTCCCCTGTGAAAGGTGTAACCTGTTTAGTATGCTCTAACAGTTCATATTCTGAGAAGACTTTTGCTTTATCGTTGCCAGGTTCGCATGAAAGCAGTGTGTGTGCTTGAGTCAATTTTGAGGAAACGGGATGATGAGAAGTTTTCAATTATAGCTTCGTACTTTGATGAAAACACAGATGTGGTGGAGAAATGTTCTCAGTCTCCCCAAAGTTCTCTCAGTGAAAAAGCTAGAAAGGTATGTGTAATTTTTGTTACATGCTAGACCTACTTTTGTAATGCTGTTCTTTCTGGATGTGGTATGCTTGCTGCACACGTGTGCCATACACCTTGGGTTTGGCTGCATTAACTGATATAGTGTTCTAGAACCCTTCAGAATTACACAGCACTCTGCCTGTGATGGCTGAGAGATACTTATTTTGGGTATGGTTATTGGCCATTTGAAGTTTGTTTTTGAGATTCGCTGTAATGTTCGGATGTATTGGAGCTGTGAATTCTGTTCTTTTCGCTACATAGAAATAATTGTTCAAACGGTTTCTTATTCGCTTTGTATGTTGTTGGAAGCTTCTCTTCCTCTTAAGTTTCACGCGTGCAGTTCTCCTCTGCACATTTGAAGTCAATTTATAGCCATGGAACCTGGATCCCACCATATGGTTTGCTCCAAGGGCACTATTACTCAAGAGTATATATTAACCTGTGAATTTTTGCCTATGATCAGGTATTGAGCCTTTTGGGGGATGGAAAAGTTGGTCGGATGCCAACTATTTCAGAAACTTCAGTACCAGCTGTGTCTCCTGTCCAGTTTCCTGACTTAATCCACACAGGAGAGTCACATGATTTCTTCAATGCAGATGATCCTTCTGAAAGGCCAAATGATCAATTGAAACCAAATGTGTCAGCCACTAGTATGACTGCGTTCACTCACGATTTACTTGGAGATAGTTTTGGTCCCACCAGTGAGAACTCTACAGAGCAAAAGAATGGGGATGATGACCCATTTGCCGATGTATCGTTTCACACAGAAGAGTCAAAACAACAACCTGATGGTGATCTCTTCTCTGGAATGGACTTTGACAGTAAACCGACTTGCATCCCGACTTCTGATGCAAGTCAGATACCCACCACAAATGGAGCTGAGATATTTGATATATTTGGGTCGTCCAATGCTGCAGTTTCAAAAAACCAAGAACATGGCAAGGCAGATGTCAATGATTTACTGGCTTGCATGTCTATTAGTGAAGGTGTCAAGCAGCAAGGTAGCATCTCTCCATCTATTCCATCTGAAGGTACAAACCCGGGGAACATGCTTGGCGGGCCCCAGTTGACCACGATGAATGCAAGTACTGTGTTTGCTTCTGCAGCTATGACATATACTATGCCACATACTATGCCACCTGGGATGATGCTGAATCCTGCTTTCTCTGCTCATTCGATACCAATAAATTATGGTGCTATGGGGGGTTTTCTTGCTCAACAGCAACTTCTTGTGACAATGTCGAACTTCCAACAGCTAAGCAATAATTTGAGTGCTGCACAAAATGCTACTAGTGGTGCTAGTCAAGCTGATGGGGGAGCAGCACTTCCTGATATCTTTCATCCAAGCTTCCCCAATCAAATTCCTACCTCGACGATGAGCAGCTCGAAAAAAGAGGACACTAAAGCTTTTGATTTCATCTCGGTGAGCTAAGCTAAGCTAAGCTAGTATTTAGTGTTAAAGACTTTGTTATGGTCGCTTCTTTTTTATTCTTTGGTTATGATGTTTTGATTTTGTGAAATCATATGTGGTGGTTAACTGGTTGTTGATTCTTATGCAGGACCATCTTGCGGCAGCCCGTGATCCAAGAAGAGTGTCTTAAAACATATAATCCTTTGTCATCTGGCCTTCAGAAGAATGAGCCCTACCTCTATTATTCTTTTTGAGGTGACGGTGGGTTTCTTCAGTTGAATCACAAAAACGTTTCAAAAAAGAGGTTTCAAAATTCTTTGGCAATAAAGGGATGACGATAGGAGCATTGCTTTTTCCGTGGTCTTGAGAAATAGAAGAATTGTTTGTGGATTTTCAGCCAAGTTAGAGAATGTCTAGAAAACAAGAGGACGATGGTGTATGTAGTAGAGCTTCATCCTTTTTCTCTATCTTTCCTTCCTTCCTTCCTTCTCTCTCTCACATTCATCCGTTTCTGTCGAGAGTGGTTAATGTAAAACATGCATGGTTCTCTTGAGAAACACTGCTGCTTTTATGGCAATTTCTGGTTTCCCTTCCATATTGATGATGGAGTTCATATCATGTTAAGCATCATCGAACTGAGTCTTGCCATGTTCTATACTTTCTTGTAGAATGCAAAACTTTATAGTTATCCCCTGTTTTTGGGGTTTAGACTAGAGTTTTTTTGTTGTTGTTTTTATTTTGGAGCTGTTTGATGGATTCTGCTTCTGCTATCTTTCACATCTAGCAAGCGACAACATACATGACCAAAATCCAAATTATTTCCGCCAATTTTACTAAACAATGTGGTATCCATCTAACAGGAGCTTGCATGTCCATAGCTCTAGGATCCTTTTGTTTCTATAGTCTCTACCCATCAAAATGAACGATTGTACTGTGTGTCTCAAACTCATGGACTACCCTTGTTATCTCATCAAATCCAGTGCCAGAAAGGTTGGCAAAGAGACATGGGGTCACTCGTTCTTGATGCTGCCCTTTGCTTGCGATGACTCCATCTCAGATTTTTCTGCAAATCCAAGTTCAGACATATCCTGCTTGGCCATCAAATTCCTGTGTATATATATAGAAATCAAAGACGGTGTACTTTCTGCATTAGCCGAGTGTTCGATAATGCCAGATACTAAAACAAGATGATGCAATCAAATGCAACAGAGTTGTGAATGGATCAGAATTTTCCATTTCCGACATACTTTACTATGTGCTACCAAACCATGAACCATGATTGACAACCTAGAGGCATATAGCTAGATGACTCGATCCAATTTCAAAAATACTAGCGAAGGTAAGCAAATGGAGGCTAATTTTGTGTCGAATGTAGTCAAACTATAGTTTTTATGTATACGCAAAATGATGGGTGGAAACATAAGCATAAAAGCGGAGCATAACAACAAAATTTTATATGGATCATATGAATTATCATAAATCTTCATACTCCAACCTACATTATGTTAAATATGAACTCAATAAACTTCAAATAACTATCCTTTTTCTATATTTAAAACATCATTACTCATGGACATAAACACATTTGAAAAGTTCTTAAACTAGAGTGAAATCTAACTAAGAACAAGATGCTAATAAACATAGAAGACGAATTTAAATTACAAACTAGCATGCATCACAACCAATAAACAACCTTAAATAATCAAAGCACATAAAGCTCTTCTCATGAATTTAAACATTATATTAGGGCATGAGCATGAACATTTGAATCCAAAGTCTCATCATTGTTATCACTATCACGCCACCATTTTCATTGTTGTGGTCGATATCGGTTCATTCACCATTATCAACACTAACAACATGCTCCATAAAATTACCTCCATCGCTATTCATGAGTACATGATTAATATAACCTCCAACCACATGATCACTTTAGTGTTTTTGAATCGGGAAATCCAGATAACCGACCCACAGACACGCCTTAACCGCTCCAAAACCCAGCCGATGGAAGCTCTTAGAAGAGTCCTAAGAGCTTTAGGGATTTCAATGCGCTTATAGAGCTTCTAAAACTCCTAATTAAGCTTATGACGTCAAAAAAAATTCAAAATAGAAAACTATATTTTGAGAGTAAGGACGTAAAAATGTTAGCTTTTAAGCTAAAACTATAGCTACTGTGATATACATTAACAATTAAAAGTACTCTTTATGACTCCACGTTTTCGAGCCTCAGTGTGGAAAGATCATAACTTCCCTTTTATTTAACCATTGACCATAACTTCTTATTAGCACGTAGGCATATACTGATGCATAAGAGATCTATCTGCTCCTATTTGACCACAATACAATTCTAAGGAGCAAGTTACCAGATGATGGGTTGAGAAACATCACTCACTTTTCCATTCGACATTCCAGGTACTTCTTCGAGAACTGTCTACATTTTTCTGATAGGTGACCACCAGATTTCAGACAGTTGAGGTAGTCTTTCTTTTCCTGAAACAAAACAAGAGCATCCAAATATTTTGCCTTGATCAGAAGCTCATAATTGTAAAACAATGTCTATGCGAACAAAGCCACAAATGTAAGGACAATAGAAAAGAAGGGACTACCAGGTCACATTCGTGCAAATGGTCCAAAGGGAAGACTCCCTTCTCTGGCGGCACTGGTCTCGCTCCTCTATTCCCACCAAACGCCCCACCTGTAAGCAACTGCTATCTCCTTACTCAGAAAACAATTGAAGCAACCCGACAATACACAATGGATTGATTGGGAGCAAAGCAAAGGTCTTTCATGAGTCTAGAACCCTTATTCATGTACCAAAAGAACAGAGTTCCAGGGACATCATGGCTCCTGCACTTTCACCATAAGGAGGATAAAAGACAACACAAGATCAAAGCGACATTTTTAATCAATTATCTTCTCCAGCGAGTACACACCAGCACAAGTATGCTTTCAGAATTTATCATCTCATCCAATTCTACGAACTCCAACAAAACTGATAACTTAATCTGGCATAGAGAGCAAATTGAGACGAGTTCAATGACCCTCCCTCCAGTTCTCACTTGATAGACATAGCCAGACAGAAATCAGACAATTACTGCAGCTAAGAGCAACTGAATGCACAGGCAATGCACATTCTAAATACAGAAGTTGCAATCGGCGGTGAGCATAAATCCATAATTTCAGTTTCTGGGCAACCAGAGCGTGCTTTTGTGTTTCCTTCAAAATTCAATCAAAATCTTCACCAATTTTCGAGCTGAAGCTCTAAGTAAATCACACACTGTGGAAGGAAGTCCAATTGAACACCACCACACGCCAAGAAAACCAATGGAGAATCGAATAAGGCAGGGAGAAAGAAAAAGAAAACCTGTGCTCATCTACAAGGGAATTGCTAAGAGATTGACAGCGAGCAACGGAGCCGTGAATGCGACAGGGAACGCTAATAAAAGCCTGCAACAGAGTGAAGTGTGAAGGAAGCGGCCTGAAATGAGAGACGTCCTCCAGCGATTTCTCCGAATTGACTCCTGGAAGCGAACGGCGAGCCAGATTGAGCGCTTCCCCTGCCAGAAAAGTGGAAGCGACGACGGTGGCTTTTTATTAGAAACAGTTCAGTATATGGTTTATTTCACTTTTAGTCACTAAGCTTACCCGTTTTATCAAGTAATGCATGTATACTTGAATCGTTGCATTCAAGTACCCAAAGTTTACAAATTGGTGAGCTTTGCTTTGCAAATTGCACTTTTACCATTGCCAAAAATCTAAGACATGAAAGGTTAAATATCACAAGAGTAGGAGCTAAAACGCATGGTAAAGGAAATCGGATCGTACCGGCCGGTTGAACCGGTAAAACTGGAAATCGGCGTCTGGCCGATACGATACACGGTTTGTAGTGAAAGAAACGTTTCGGTCGGTTTTACTGGTAAAACCGGTTCAACTCAAAAAACCGCCCGGTTTTGGTCTAACCGGGGGTGAGCTGATAAGCAGGACACGGCGCCGTTTTGCATTAGGGAAAAAAAAAATCGGCCGAAGCCTAAAAGGAAAACCCTAAATCATCGCTTCGTTTGCTGCCGCTGCCCACGCGAAATCTCTTCTGCTCGACCCTCCATCCTCTGCTTGACGACAGGCGGCCCTCCCTCCTCTGCTCGACGACCGGCGACCCTCCCTCCTCTGCTCGACGACCGGCGATCGTCTCCGGCACCGGCACGCGTGCCCACCCCTGCTCAAGAAGAACACGAGCGGCGACCCTCCCTCCTCTGCTCGACGACCGGCGATCCTCCCTCCTCTGCTCGACGACCGGCGATCGTCTCCGGCACCGGCACGCGCGCCCCTCCCCTGCTCAAGAAGAAAACGGCGGCAGCAGGTAAAGGAAAACCTGAACTGATCGAGATATCAATGTTGGACTGGTCTTCAACTGTATATATAATTATATATATAGTATATTGATTCTCCAAACCAATGACACTCTGATTTTTAGACTGATTAGTTGACTGAGTTCCTTATCTATAAATGTCGAGGCTTTGTTGTGCTTTGTTGAGGCTTTGTTGTGCTTCCTTATCTATAATTGTTCCTTATCCACATATATTTTTAGACTGATGTCGAGGCTTTGTTGTGCTTTCTTTCACGGTATGATTTGTAAATCATGTGACCATTACTTAATAAAACTGATTAGTAGACTGAGTTCCTTATTTATAAATTAGTCATTCTTCAGAAGGAGCAGATGTACTCTATTGTCCAATAAATTAAGTAAAAGAAAACTAAAAGAACTGAGTTCTGTGATTAAAACAGTAGTAAAAGAAGCTTTTGAACTGCATTGTATTGCTTCAGAAGGAACAGCAGATTATATATTGAGCTACATTGCATTGCTTTTGAACTGCATGATCCATGTATTCTTGCCCTGTATGTTTTTTTTCCCCCCAATGTTCTGCCCTTTATTCTAATGAGAATTTTGGCTGTTTTGACAGCAATGTCTAGTGGAAAAGAAGCCGGATCGGTTGATAAAGGAGCAACTGCTAGTAATCCGAAGGTTACCGCAAAGGGTGTACGACGCAAAAGTGATCCAAACCATACATGGATATCGTTAATAGGAGATGGGATAAGCACTTGAGCCGTGATTTGTTTATGGCAGCTCACTTTCTTAATCCGACTATGAAGTATGCTGAAGATTGGGCAGAGGATAGGGCGGTGACATTTGGACTTCTTAATCTTCTTGAGAACTCGTCTTTATGTTCTGATAATAGTGTGGTGGTGGCGGAGATGAATTTGTATGCTGAAAAGGAAGGAAACTTTGGGAGGAAGATGGCAATAGATTCTGCACAGAAACAACAACCAGGTAATTAATATCACTTACATTGAAATTCTTCTATTTATTACAAAATTTAAGAAACTAACATATATGTTTTATATGTAGATAAGTGGTGGAAATGGTTTGGCATTGATGCTCCAAATATTCAGAAGTTGGCTATTCGAATTCTTAGCCAAACTGCTGCTTCTTCTGGTTGTGAACGTAATTGGAGTGTCTTTGAACGTGTGCATGCCAAAAGAAGAAACAGATTGCAGCATAAAGTGCTTAGTAACTTGGTGTTTGTGAATTACAACTTGCGATTGCAGAATAGGTAAGGATTTGAATTATAGAACTTGTGTGTTCAATTCATACTTTCTATGCTTACTATTGATGTTTTCTACTTTGATTAGGGAGTATTATACCAAGAACTAAAAAGAATCATATGATCCCATAAGCCTTGAAAGCATTGATTCTACTGTTACTAGTCACTGGTTGTCAGAAGGCGAAGAAGGTTCATCTTCTAGGGAAAAGGAATTGGATATTGATGAGCTGGATCGAGCATTAGAAGAGGAAGGTTTGTTTGTAAATCAATTATGTATGATATGAATTCTAATACTAATAATTGATAATAATTCTTACTTGTTTTATCTTGTATTGTAGTTGGTGATGAAGAAGATGAAGGGGACGACTTGGAGAATGTAGACTTATCTACATTTGGTGTTGTTTGACGATATGAAACGTTGTTTGTGAACATTGTAGTGCTTGCTAGTTTGTGTTTGTGGTAGTTGTGAACTTGTGGTTTGAGAATGTTGTTTGAACTTGTGATTTAAGAATGTTGTTTGTACTCGATCGTAAACATGCATTTGAACGATTATGTAGTTAATTCAGTAATGTTGCAGTTTGTTGAATTTTATATTACATATGCTTATTTAGTTTATTCAGGTTTGTTAATCCGATATATTCCGGTTTTATTCCGGTATTATTCCGAAACGGTATCACAAATCTGCCGGTACGGTTTTTTCACAAAAAAATATTATTTATTTACAAAACGGTATTTTGCCGGTACACAACGATTGAACCACGGTAGTACCACAAAATACCCTACCACTGGCGAAGCCGGTATGACTTCCGGTACGGTTTCCTTTACCATGCTAAAACGAGCATTAATCAGAAATTGGTGCGTCTAGACTGTAAAACTATTACAAAGTATGGACTGAGAGCATGCACATCTAGAGGTGTCAAAATTAAACAGAACCCGATCGACTAACCCGCCCGATCAACCCGACTCGCAATTCGAATTGACTAAAAGTCAACATCCCGTAACCCGTACGACCCTCAACCAGAGTGACCCATAATCCGATTAACTCGCAACTAGACTTACCCACAACCCGATTAACCCGAAATTCAACTGACCCGCAACCCGATTAGACACGAGCATATATTTCCTTCTCTGTCTCTGAACTTTCCTAGGTTAGGGGGATCCCACCTTTTGCTGGGTCGTGTCAATTCCTGATCTCCTTAATCAACCAAGTGATTGATACTTGGTGCTTCTTCAATGGTGGGTTGCGATCCTCCGCATCAACGCTTCCCTTTACTGGCACTCAGAGGCCCAAAACACTGTGGATTAAATGCTGCCAACCGGTCATCCCGTCAGCATCCAGTGCTGCATGATCGTTCACACATACCGCATTGCAGTCGATGGGAAGATGGGTTAGGATGGCGATATCCTTTAGTGTGATGGTGCACTCTCCTTCGCGAAAATTGAAGCAATGTGTCTCCTTTCGCCATCTCTCCACCAATGCGGTGATGAGTTGACGGTCGATCTTTATCCCTAAGAAGTGCCTAATCGACTCCAACCTTGCCATTTTGAGAAAGGGAAAGATGACGTCGTTATATGCGAGCACATTAGTCGTACCCCTATAGCGGATTACATGGTATGCATGCTAGCGAAAAATTTAACTTTCCCCATAAGTATACTATAATAAGCAATTATAAATATAATATAACAAATAGTTTAAATAAATAATAATTTAATCGAATGACAATGCACATTGAAAACAATAATAAATCGTTTAAATAAACAATAATCTATTATAACAAACAGTAATCTTTCATAACAATCAGTTTAAATACATATTTGAAAACATACACATAAATCCACGACATTATTGTGTAAATCGTATTGGTTGATTTCAATTATTTAATCGAATACAATGCAACATTCGTTAGACTCTTGGAAGAAGTATACATTTTCTTAGAAATGCAACCTTTTTGACAAAAAAACGGCTCCGGATACTATAACAACACCCATAGTGTTGTTATAGTAACAACAAGGGCATAACAGTAAAATGACAATAAAAATAATAAAACAAAAATAATAAAATTTATCACAGAATACCGTTGACGAGCAATCTCATCCTCTCTCCCATTCCAATCCCCATCGTCGTCGTCTCAGCCCCTCCTCTCCCACCAAAATTCCCGCGACGGAGGCGGAGACATCACTATCGTCGGAGGCAGCGGAGTGCCTCCACCGCCGCTGCTCCGTCGCCGTTCATGAAGGATTCCATGGATCTGGTGCGCAGGATCTCACTGCTCGCGTGAGATTGCGGATTTCGACGATGAATCTGGACAATTGGATTGCGATGCCGCCGCTTCCACTTTATCGCGTGCTGCGGCCAGTTGGTGCTCCGCGCTGCTTGTTGCGACCATGCTAGAGAGAGTGAGATCGCTTAGAGTGAGAGAGCGTGAGAGTTTCTTGTGATTGCAGAGTTGCGTAGCCGCTTCATCTTCCTGGAACCTCTTCGCATCCAGTGGCTCTGCACCCTGAAGCAAGCGACCCGCAGTGAAAGCTCGATTGTGTAGTGTTACTTTAGTAATTTGATTGTTTGGATTTTATTAGGATTAGCTCATTTGGATTCTTGTCCTTTGTGTAGTGATAGTTGAGGAAACTCTTGCTTTTTTTAGTTATATGGATGTAATTAGTAATTGGCAACTCATGTGATTGATGCTACAATTTGGGCATTTATAGAGACTGGTCACAAATTTTGGTGGTGTATTTCTGGTTCTAACCACAAAAATATGGAAAAAAAAATGTTTTAATGCATGCCACAAATCTTGTGAAACATAATAGAAATTGTATAAAGCAAACCATAAATGTTTCTAAAGTACACCACAAATCTCCTAAAACAAATAAAAAATCCAACAAAGCAAACCACAACTATTTCTAAACACACCAAAAACCTCCTAATGCAAACCACAAATACCATAAAACAAACCAGAAACTTCTTAATGCAAACCAGAAACCTCCTAATGCATACCACAAATCTCCTAAAACAAACTAGAAAGCCCACAATGCAAACCACAATATTTGCGAAAGCACACCAGAAACCTCCTAATGCAAACCACAAACACAGTAAATCAAACCACAAAAAAAGCAAACCATAAACGTCCTAATGCAGACCACAAATATATTAAAACAAACCGGAAACCTCACAATGCAAACCACAAAGTTTTTGAAAGCAAACTAGAAACTTCTCAATGCAAACCACAAACACAATAAAGCAAACCACAAAAACAAACCAGAAACCTCCTAATGCATACCACAAATCTCCTAAAACAAACCACAAACCTCACAATGCAAACCACAAAGTTTTTGAAAGCAAACCAGAAACTTCTCAATGCAAACCACAAACACGATAAAGCAAACCACAAAAGGCATAAAAAATATGAGAAACCAAACCATAAATCTCACAATGCTAACCATAACATTCGGTGATCGTTGACCGTTGACCGGTCAACGAAGACCGTTGACTGAACTCCGGTGACCGTCAGTGAGCAGATTCCGACGCCGATAGGCATATTCCGGCTCCGATGACTAGATTTCGACGCCGGTAAGCATATTCCGACACCGGTAAGCATATTCCGGCGACAAATAGCATATTCCGGTGACCGGTGACCACTTTCCGGCGACCTGTGGCAGAATTCCGGCGACCAAATTTTTGGGCAGAAAATAATTTTTTTATTATTATTATTTAAACAGATTTTTCATAATGACAATTATACCCCTCCTTTGATTTTACACTAGGTCAACTCATCTAATAAAAAGTCATCACAATCCTAGCTTCCTATTGGTTGGAGACTAGTGTTGTTACAATAACAACATAAGGGGTGTTGTCATAGTAACCGGTCTCACAAAAAACGAAGGGATCCGATAATCGCTTAAAACCCGATTTCCCAGAAAATGGGAGGATCATAATAATCGCTTAAAACCCCCATTTCCTTAGGCATAAATGACGCATTGTATTAGACCAAATTATTGAAAATAATCAATACGAATAAAAATTATCAAGTTTAATTTATAAACCACTAAGTACATAAACCAATTAAAAAATGACTAAGGAGACTGATCCATGTATGTACTTGGTGATCGTTCCAAAACATCTCTTGAACGATGGTTAGGTTGGTCATACAACACGCTTGGATCAATCGGTTCTTGCTCAACATAATATCGTTGGTTGTATATATCGACGTTGTCCCCAACCTACGAGAGAATAACAACATGCCTAATTAGTTAGTAAATAGATTAATTTAAAAAATTATAACAACAACAACAAAAAGTTGGTAAAATGAGTACATACCGTTTGATAGTCATCATGGAAAATACCCTCGTCTTGGCACCAATCATCTATTTTTTTAATATGTCGATAGATAGAGAGATAATTTTAGAGAGAGAGGGAAGAATGAGTTGTGGTGTGTAAAAAATGGAGAGGGGGGTGAGTTTATATAGCACTCGGACAGGGGCGGTTTTGTAAATTTTGCCCAGCTAAAACCGCTCCCTTAGGAGACGGTTTGTTTTTTCTGAGGCTGAAAACCGCATTCTCGGCGGGCGGTTTGTGATTCATTTCGCGGATCGCTACCTTGGCAAGCGTTTAACCGTTGGATCGCTCTACGATCATACGATTTCAAAAACCGAAGCGCTCCAAAGCGGTTCCTCGGCCGCCCTAGCACAAACCGTTCCTCCCATGCGCGATTTCTGTGTAAACCGCCTTTTGTAGTGCTGTTTTGGGCAAACGGTGCTAATTTTGGAATTTGTGTAATTTAGGTGCTATTTTTGCAACAAAAAAAAATAGTGCTATTTCTGGATTTTTTTCGCCAAATTGTGAGACAAAAAAGTTACAAGGTTAGTGATCATCAAAGTTAAAAACAACTTTGGTGCTTTTAAGAGTCTTTTTACTAGATTGTATTAAGCAGTAGCAACATCAACAAATATGTCAAAACAATTTATTATGTACGTATATGGATTTTGATTCAATTTTTCTCTTTCTGCACCTGCATTTTGGTTGGTACATGGTTTGTTGATTCAATTTGTAGGAACAATTACAATAGGAGTAACGCTTTAGAGGCTATGAATGGTACTTAGCATAAAAGGTCACAAATTTATTCACTTTGTACAAAATGGTCACAAACCTTTCATTTTGCACGTTTCACTAACATACATTTGAGAGAGTAACGAAATGATCATTCCGTCCATCTCCATCCAAAAAATCGTTAGTTTCGTCCAGTCAGCACGCCACGTCATTTAAAATATTAATAAAAAAATTTAATGACCCAATTGAATCGGACAGCCCTAAGCCCCTAACTATATACTTACCCACCCGAAAAGCAACACCGACTCGACAATCTTCAACTCACCTGAACCCAACCGACACTGGCGACTTGCTTCGATTCTGAATTCTTTTGCCGTCTTGGCAGGGAAGCTTTTGGTATCGTTCACAAAGGGGTGTTTCTACCTCTTTCACTTCTTCAAATCATATTACAACCTCAACCATGAATTGCAAATTCCTCTACCTCCGCTCCCCCACTATCGACGCTCAACCAATCCCGCCTCCACTACCATCGCTCCGCCATCAAAGGTTGGTTAGAGCATGCAGATCCAAAAATCGATCGAAGCAACGAGAATCCACAAAAAATATTTATAATAACTTGGAAATGGATTCACTGCCGCCGCCTTCAGCCACAAGATTGGTAGAGATCTGCGGGTCACTCTGTCCCCATAAACCTCCTCTCAAATCTACCTACCCCTCAATAAAGATTGGCATTCTGTTTCTCATTCTCTTTGGACCATAGTGATATAGAGTCCTAATTTGCAGATTGACGTGTGCCTATCAGAACGCCGACGTGAGAAGGGGAAAGAAGGGGTTTAGGGTGGCGCCGCGACCAGGGAAGCGGCGGCCATGCGACCCGGAGAAGCTATCGGCGACGGGAGATTTATGAGGGCGCGATTCTGGGGAGCGGAATCGCTCAGGGCCACGACAGGGTCTCCAAAATTTCGGGTGATATCGAATTAGGGTTTTTGGTTGGGCAGTTCAATTGGGTTTGGTAAATTAATTTTTTATTAATATTTTAAGTGATGTGGCATGTTGATTGGAAAAAACTGACAATTTTGTTATTATTCTCTCAAACATATGTTACTGAAACGTGCAAAATAAAAGGTTTGTGACCGTTTCGTACAAAGTGAACAGGTTTATGACCTTTTATGCTAATTACCCGGCTATGAAGTGTCCATGTAGTTCTTGCCTTACGAACAAGGCATTTGGGGTAAGACTTTTTGAGTCACTCTTTTAGTTTCCAGCTTCTTTATCCATGTTCTGTTGGATTTGGGTTCAACTGACTTGTCATTGAAGGCTGAAATTTTAATTATTGTTCATGGCAGATACAATAGTGCAGGATGCCTCAGATGGAGTCCATGGCGCTTTTTTTGTTCGCTAGAAGAATGATGAAATTTTGAACGTGAACTGATGTTGACTTTAATATTAGAGAAGTAATAATTAGTTAGCTTATTGAGGAAAACAAGTTATAACTATGATATAACATTATAGAATTACATACTACAAGAATTGAGACTTTCGATTGTCGATAATAATATTATTTTGTTGTTACTTCGTGACAAGAGCCTTTAATACTAACTTTTGTAATTAGAGATGGCAAAAATTCATAACTAATCTTATTATAGATATTGTAATTAGTCATAGTAAAATATCGTGACTAGTGGTTGTAATTAGTTTTAGTAAAATATTGTGACTAGTGGTTAGTGTAAAGTCACAGGGGAACAAGTCACTACAAGTAGTAAATATTGTGACTAGTGATTAACATCTAGTCATGGGAAGTGATTAGTCACGGTACATATAACTAATCACGGTACACAATTAGTCACAGAGTTTTATATTAAGATAATTTTTCCGTGACTAAAATTATTAATCACGAGAAACACGATTTTAAACACTCCTTGCTTGCATCTTTTTCTTGCTCCTTGGAGGGGGGGGGGGGGGATTGGATCTTCAATGAAATTCTCCCAATGTGTTTCTCTCTGTAAAATACTTCAAAAAACTAACTTTCTCACTCTAGGGCGGCTCTCCTTTGTCAAGTGCTATAAAGGGAGCATTTATAGGCTACAGGCGGTAGGCACGATCTCGAGGGCGTGAATCGATGGTCACGACCGTGACCTGACCGTGACCAGCTGGAACGTCTTCGAATCGCCCGAACGACGCATTTTGTCTCTGTCTTCAAGTTCCAAGATCGCGACCTCTTTCATGCGATCACGGCCGCGATCTATGGGTCCCAGGTGCGATCTTTTTTGCGGCCAAAACACACTATGTCCGCGATCCGGGTGTCGAAACTTTCTGCTTCTTCTTGGTCGCCTGTTGAGGTTCGCGGCCATTGTTCACGACCGTGATCTTTAGGGCCGCGAACATGGTCACGGCCTGGTTATGGTCGTGACCTGTGCTTTTTCTCCCCTTCTTGCTCTTACGCTTCCCAATCATGCTCGGATGAACTCCAATTGATTCCCGATCAACCCCAAATGCATATAAGACATGTAATTTCATCACAAGCACAAGAAAAAACATAAAACACGACAAAGTAGGTCGATTCCCCCATGAAAATTTTCATATAAAAAATATCTATGCCAAAATGCATGTTTTGCAAATAGGAACGAAAATAGTCATGAATAACTTGATATGTGGCCTAGACACGGTGATTTAGCATGCAAATGCCTTAAGAATAAGGGCTAAATAATGCCTATTTTAGGTGTTATCATGAGATGAAAGGAGGCAGTGGTGGAAGCCGTGAAAGTGGAAGGGGCCGATCAGAGAGTGAGGAGGAGGAGAATCTGGATGAAGAGGATCGAGACAAAATCAAGGACGGGGACTGGGAATGGAAGAGAAACGATTACAAAATTAGACTTCGGCTCTCTGTTTTCCCCGTGTAGAATTTGTCGAGAAATGAGTAATGGGTGCAACGGTGAAACTGCATTTTGATAAATTTGGGAAAGTGGAGGAAAAGGAAGGCCGAGGAGAGATGAAGGGCATTTGATCACAACATTTTTTATGATTTTTTTTTAATTTAAGGGCTAATACCACTAGAAATACCAACTTTTAGTGAAAGTACCATTTATATTATGAAATTTTCGATATGACAATTGTATACCAACAGTTAAAGTTTCCATTAGGGGTTAATAGAAAATACATTCAACAATGACGTAGATATTTTTAATAAAAAAAATGTAAAAAACAATCAAAGCTCGTCCACCACCTTACCCTACCTTACCGCTCAGCCTCTCCCTCTCTCTCACATCTTCAAGACGCCGCCTTCACCCAGCTTCAATGTCGCCGCCGCCGCCATAGTCATCGTCAACTCTCGCAGATTGGGGTTTCGATGCAACCACTTCTCAAACTACACCACCCGAGGCAAGGCGGCGGGGTCGAGTCATTGAAGAACTACTCCACCGGGTTGAACTTTTCCTCCGACTCGTTCCTCAAATACAGCCGCCAGGCCAACTGCCACAACGAGGTCTTCTCCAACTATGCCACTGATGGCAACGTCGCCAACCCCAGCTTCGGAACGGCTCCAGATCTACCGCCGACGATTTCAAGAACTACCAAAACTGAGTCAACGTGCCTGGTCTCCACTTCACCACCTACGCCTCTGTCAGCAACGACCACAAGCTCGGTTTCTCCAGCTACAGCGACGACACCAATGCTTGCTCCCAGTCCTTCACCAGCTACGCCAACACCCCAGATGCTTACAACAACCACTACAAGAAAACAGGGGTTTTGTGTCGGTTCAATTAACCGACACAAACTATGAATTTTGTGTCAGAAATTTGTGTCCCTTACTGAACCGACATATTATTCTCTTGGTGTAGTGTCGGTTTTGATTTGTCTCGGTTTGAACCGACTTCATGCCTAATTTAACTAACTTTAAATAAAACAATTGATTTTTTCATTGGTTTTTGGTTTTGATCAGATTTGTTTTATTGACTGAGAAAATGAGAAGTGGGAAAACCCAAACTAAAACTTCCCGCCTCCCCCAAAACCTCCCCGCCGAAACCCATTTCTCCCGTCAAACCTTCCCTCTCCACAGTTCCCCCAAAAATTCGAATATCCTCTAGCTGACGAACAACTGGTCATAGTGCGCGAATTCCATAGCTGGTCAGAGCGTGCTATTACGGTGGATTAGGGTTTGGAAGCCAGCGGTGGGTTGGTGGACTCGCTTAAAAAGCAAGTACAAGTAATTTCCATGAATCTTAAAAACTTAATTAGGGATTTTGGATTACGGGGTTGGCTCTGGATGATGGGAACTACAGTTTGGCTTAGGGATGAGCTTTGGTTTATCTTCCTCTGCTCCTTGTGTTCTTATGCAAGTCATTTCTTTACTCTATTATGCAGCTCAGGTGTCGTTCTCTACAGAGCTGGAATTTTCTCTTCTTCGTTTGTGCGAGTTTGTTTGGGGTCTGGCGTATTTTGGCGGTTGTTGTTTGGGGTTCCTTTCAATGTTGATGATTCCTTCGCTTTAGCTCATTTGTGTATGTATGTAGATTGATTCACCATGTTCCTGTTAGGTATAATCTGCTGGTAGATAAACTAATATACTGCCAAGATTTCCCCCTTTTCTTTAATCTATTGTTCTTACTATCAACTAGCCTAGATAGATTTAAATCATCTTATACCCAAATCAATTTTGCTGCATAAGTTGTGTTTTGTCGTAGTAGTAGTTTAGTGCAGTGGGTATTGTTTTGGCTACTGTAAACGGGCCATGATGTTTGTAATCTTTGGTTCAAGGTTGTTGCTGTCTTACTACTACTAGTAATGGGCCATGATGTTTGCAGTGGGTATTCTTCTCTACCAGATCATATGCTGCTGGTGCCTCCATGCTTGTGAAACCATTTCGAGAAGCATTATTCAGAGCATCCCGGAACTCCCTTCTGATTCCATTGAAGAAAATAATGATCACGTTCCAGTCTTCAAGACCATGACTTGGGCATCTCATCAACAACCCCTTGTAGCGCTCCCATGCCTCAGTCAGACTCTCATCATCAACTTGCTTAAAATTAACAATCTCTTCTTGCCTCTTCATTGCCAAGGCAGGTGGGAAGTACTTATCCAGAAAGACCTTCTCAAGCTGAGCCCATGTCGTGATGGAACGTGGTGTTAAGTTCTGAAACCAGTGTGATGCATTCCCTATTAGGGAGAATGAGAACATCCGAAGACGGATTGCATCATCAGATACTGTGGGACTCTTCATTGTGTCACATATACTCGCGAACCGGCGGAGATGTTCGTGAGAATCCTCATTGCTAGCCCCGGAGAAAGTATATCCACTAGCAATCATGTTGATAAATGCTGGGGTAATCTCCATGGTTGCATCCCCAGCCGGAATGACAACACATGAAGCTCGGACTTCAGTTCTTCGATTCAAACGAGCCTTGATTGATCGATCCTCCTCTGCCATGATAACTGGCTCAACGTCACGAGGTGGTGGTGTCGGTGGTGTAGGGACGACAGGTGATGAAGCCTGCCCTCTCTTGGTTAGGGAAGGCCTAGGAGTTGTGGTTGGCTGCTTCCCTAACTTGACCTGCTTCCTATTCTGTCGGCAGGTCTTCTCGATCTCCGGGTCTAGTGGCAGTAAATTGCCAGTCGTCCTCCCAGGCATGCATGAGGAGGATAAACCTGAAAATTCTTCTACACACTAGCACACAGATCAAAATAGTTCACTCACAAAAATGAACAAAAATAAGGTATGGCAGTCCCCGGCAACGGCGCCAAAAACTTGATAGGGCAAAAGCGTAATGCCTCAATCCTATCTCGTAGTAAAACCGGAAAGTCCGGGTATCGTCTCTCAGGGACTGATACAACTTTTTATTCTATCAATTTATAGAGCAAACTATAGGTGAAAATGGTTTAATGAGACTAATTATCTAAAAGCAAAATAAACTAATTAAGCAAAGTAAATTTGTCGGGAGAAATCAATGGGAGAAAGCTCAGGGAGAAACACCGGGACTCACTATCTATCATATAAAAATTAATTCACATATTCCAATCAGTTTAATCCAATTCTCTACAACCAGGATATCACGAATGTGCTAGCTATCCCTGTCGGGAATTACTACGTACTAAACAATTAAATCGAATCCTACTATCGTAGCTCAATGACTTAATTATTTAGCCTGAAGATTGATATCCTATTTAAGACCGCATAGCACCTTATTTAATCCACTATCGCTTCGATAAGTTACTATGTCACATGAAATATGTTCAGTCAACAGGGTTTCACTGTCGCTAATAACCTAATTAACTACAAATCAATGTATTGGTGGCCAGTCAACACAAAGCATTAAGTAATTCCATGCGATAGAAATTGGAAGAAAAGAAATACGAATTAATCCATCAAGTCAAGAAATAGCTACATCCTATGGTGTTCCCCCCAGAAATTGGGGTTTAGTTCATGATGAAATTGAGATAAATCGATAAAGTTTTGATCACCATATTCTAAATCAACAATAAACAACTAATTTGGTTCAGAAAATCCAACCAAATAATCGCTCTCGTTGAACTCAGCTCAAGCCGCCTTGGAGAGGACGATCGCCAATTTCCCAATCGCCGCGCGTCCCAAGTTTCCACAGCGCTTTCCCGCTGCCTTTTTCCCAAAAAGAGATTCCGTTGTCCGCTCCTCCTTGTTCCGCTAGCCCTGCTGCCTTTTCTTTTTTTATTTTCCAAAGCAATCCCCCTGCCCGCCAAGAATTTCCGTCTCTATCAAATAACTAGCCTATAGCCCGGCCCGTTGGCCGCATTTGTTTAAGGAAATGGAGTTACAATATCTATAATGATAGTGTCGAGAAATGAGTCTTGTTTTATATTATCATAAGATTGTTGCAATTTTGCAATTCGTTAAAGACGAACATGTAATATGAATGAACATTCATAATAAGTTAGAAATACATTTGAAGATTAGCTAATCACAATAAAAATACTTACATGAAATTTTACTAATCACAAATCTAATCTAGTTGAGTATTACGACAAATAACATGCAAGTCCAAAATAAGAAAACTCAATACATTGTCTCATTGTTCATGACATGGTACTCAATTCAACAAAGGCAAAAATAATTTCACCAACACAAGTTCACAATAACCAAATGCATCGTTCCAGGGACCGACTGTGACCATGACTTCAAATGTCTGTTCTCCAAGCATGTTCAGAAGGGCCATATAGTCAGCATTGACAACATCTGCATGACTGAATACAGATTCAACAATCGTTCGTAACTGTGATGACGGGAAGACAATGTCAACACCAATGAATTCGTCCTCAATTGTGAGGTGGACGAAATGGATTCTGGATGCAGGGGACCAGGACGTCGTCAAATTCGTTACACGTCCGGATAACAAAAAAGAGGTGCCCTGATGTAAACACAGAAACGAATATTGTCAAAGCAAATCGATAAAATGCAGCATGCCACAAAAGGCGTACAATTAATGTAACACCCTACCCTATACGTTTTTTCTAATCATATTTTTCATACAATTGCATGGGAATTAATCTCGGGTGTTACATTAATTATCAAAATTTACCTAAATAAAATTTCGACATGAATTACTCGCGTAATGGGCTAACAGTTCTTGCAACTTAACCTGCAAAATAATTCATCACAAACATATATACTCACAACCATATGCATTGGCTTTTCTTAGCCATAGTCACACTTTTCATACTTCCTAACTGCATACCATACTTATACATACCATAATCGTCACAACTTACACAGTTACACAACATATACACATATCACTAACTTTCCACACCTGTGGATATCTCACACTACATCAGAAGCTAGTATGCACATGAAAAACGTTCTCAAAACATTTTTTACAAAAAGGTGTGGATCACTGGCCAAAATCCCGAGTAGTAGTCCAAGCACAGAATAGTTGAAGACCATACCTCATCCTGGCTTCAACTCTAGCTCCTCTCCCACCTAACACTTATCTACTGCTGCTGCTGATGATCTGCTTACACATAGCATAAGCAGAGAAGAAGGATAAAAGAGGGTCAGCTCATAGCTGAGTGAGATAATCATAGCATCGTGAGTTTATAACAGAGCATACCCCTACCATACATCTAGCAAACAAGCCAAAACACTAGGATCAGATCTCAGCCCTCCGACATCCCAATAGGCAAAAGACTCAACCACCTTGACTTATGCATATGCATCTTATCATGTTTTAATCATAGGCGTCTGGCTACTCCCATGCTAATAACTCTCCCGGGAAACATACCCCACATCCCGTCGGATGTAGTCATACATACCCCAACATCCCGTCGGATGTGGTCATACATACCCCACACCACTATGGGTGTAGTCATACCCCGACACCGCTCTGGGTGTGGTCATATCTCATAAGAATTCTTCAGTCACCACCACATGAGAGGTGTGACTATCATACATATCATAATAGAGTAATAGCATAGGGAGCCCTAATTACTATGTAGTTGACCGTGAGACCACAACATTCATATTTGGTATCCTTGTACATGATTCATATCTCATCTTGCTTAACCATAATTCATTACTTACACATGTACTTGACGTGGCCATAATTGGCTCAACATAGGTAAATCAGGAGTCGTATAATTGCACTTCCTCGGGATGAACCCTCGTGCAAGTCATCCTCCTTAAACATCATAATATCACCCTGGGAAGTTTATTCCCCCACTTATGGATCCAAATACAACCATAATATCACACCATGTCAAAAACCCTTATCGAACAACCATAAAGTCATACCAACAGTTAAGCCACAAATGACAACATGTATGCAATCATCAACATAAACAAGGTTCATATCGGCTAGGGCAAGTCAATAATATCATACAACAATCCATGGTTCATCATATAGCATAAAAGTCCATACACCCCTAATCATGCCATTCTAGTTCACCTAGGTCAATTCTAAGCATCAATATAATTATCGTGATACGACAAACCCGGTATGCCGTGCTAATCCCTCACCAGTTCTGGTCGTTCGAACACCGGTTTAACTTTCCCGTACTAAAACGTCAATTTCACGAACGAACCCCGAATTAAAATTCGAGACTGTCCTAATATCCCCTGCAGTATCCCCGTCAATATTAGTTCTAAGCTCCGGGTCAAATTCTTGATAAAAACACATCAAACCCTGGCCAGAGCTAAATTCAGCGGTTTGGACCCCGGCCTAATTAATAGCCGAAATTCAGGGATTGGAACTAGGGGATTGATTACCTCGCTGCAGGAAGCTCGTATATGAAATTTGGGCTCAATCCGGCTTCCGGATACTCCGAAACCCTAATTTGGCAGATCGGGAATTCAAGAAATTCCTGAACCAAAAACTCGTTTTAAAGCTCTAAATCGATAAATCACGATGTATGGATGAATTAGGCATTACTTACGGGATTTTTGGATCACTAGAACTCAAGATTCAAAATCTTGAATTTCCTCGCCGAGCGCTCTCTGCGTGCTCTGTTTCTTGCGGTTTTGGAAATGAGAAATGAAAAGTGAAATGGCAGGGAAAGTGATGGACGGTAATATATATGCCGACTGCATATATATATATATATATATATATATATATATATATATAAAATTAATTAATTAATTAATACGTATATTTATCCGATCGATCGATAATCCGATTTTCGCCGAAATACTATTAAAACGCTCGATTTTAAATCGCGAACTTTCTAGCGATTGAAATATGGGTTTTGCCGGAACGGGATGTTACAATTCTCCCCTCCTTAAAAGATTTCGTCCCCGAAATCTATCCTTGAGTCGTACTCTAACTCCTCTTACTTACCCTTAACATGGTCTATCATAGATAAACCCTTTCCTAACTCTTAGAATAGGTGATTCATAACATAGAAAATAACACATAACACCTCAAGTTCCCATGTTTAGGTTTCAAAAACCTATACTGGGCTATCACAACAAAAGCACATCAGAAAGTTCAAAACATATCTTATTAGGCAAGATTGTTAACCTGCAAAGTAGGTTGCTACCAATTCAGGGTACTTCTCTCGCATACTTGCTTCAGTTTCCCAGGTAGCACTCTCACTTTCTTGATTTCTCCAAACCACTTTCAACATTGGGATTTCCTTCCTACGAAGATTCTTAATCTGAAAATCAACAATCTCAACTGGAACCTCCTCAAAAGTCAAATCTGAACCCAACTCGATCTCTTCTGGTTGTATAACATGGGAAGGATCCACTTTGTACCTCTTCAGCATACTAACTTGAAATACATTGTGGATTTGAGATAGTTCTGGAGGCAATGCCAGTTTATATGCCACTGGTCCAATCTTCTCTATGATTTCATAGGGTCCAATATACCGAGGTGCAAGTTTCCCTTTCTTACCAAATCTCATCACCCCTTTCCATGGTGACACTTTGAGAAATACTTTCTCACCCACTTCGAAATTAACTTCACGCCTATTCGTGTCAACATAAACTTTCTGTCGATCTTGAGCCACCCTCAAGCGCTCCCTGATTTCCTTGACCTTGTCAACTGTGATCTGAACTATCTCTGGCCCTGAGATTTGCCTTGCTCCTTCTACATCCCAACATAATGGTGTTCTGCATTTCCTCCCATAAAGTGCTTCATATGGTGGAACACCCAAGCTACTATGGTACTGGTTGTTGTAAGCAAACTCAATCAAGGGCAAATGGTCAATCCATGATTCCTCCCATTGCATTACACATGATCGAAGTAATTCCTCCAAAGTTAGGATGGTTCGTTCACTCTGCCCATCTGTTTGAGGATGATAAGCTGAAGTAAAATGCAGTTTAGTTCCCAAGGCATCATGTAAACTTTGCCAAAACCGAGATGTGAAGCTCGGGTCTCGATCAGAGACAATAGAAATTGGCACACCATGCAATCTGACGATCTCCTTAATATATAGTTGAGACAAAGTCTCCAGTGATGGTTTCCACCTAATGGGTAAAAAGTGAGCCGATTTGGTCAGTCGGTCCACAATAACCCATACTGCATCTTTTCCCCTTGATGATGGGAGACCATATACAAAATCCATTGTGATTCTTTCCCACTTCCATTCTGGAATTGGAAGTGGTTGCAGTTTTCCCACAGGAGCTTGATGTTCTGCCTTAACTTTCTGACATACCAGACATGTGAAAACATGTTCAGCCGCTTCCTTTTTCATCCCACGCCACCAAAAATATGGTTTGATCGTGTGATACATTTTAGTTGCTCCTAGGTGCATAGCATAAGCAGAAGAATGAGCTTCATCTAGGATCTCTTTCCTCAAGTTATCAACATTAGGAACACATGCTCTTCCATTAATCTTCAACATGCCATCTACCATTTCAAATGGGCTTTCTTTTCCTTCCTCAATGTCTTGAATGATTTTTACCAACTCTGGGTCCTCCTTCTGCTTCTCACGAATTTTGTCGTGCAACAAAGGTCGAATGTTCAACCGAGCTAGTAACCCTGTTACACCATCCACTTCCAAATCAACATTCAATGCCCTCAAATCAACCAGATCATTTATATTCTTCTTCCCCTTTCTGCTCAGAGCATCAGCAACTACATTAGCTTTACCTGGATGGTAATCAATGGTACAATCATAATCTTTCAACAACTCTATCCATCTCCTCTGGCGACTATTTAAATCCTTCTGATCCATAATATACTTCAAGCTTTTGTGATCAGTTAGAATTTTAAAAGTCTCACCATACAAATAATGTCGCCAAATCTTGAGAGCAAATACCACCGCTGCCAATTCTAAGTCATGAGTGGGATAATTTACTTCATGAGGACGCAATTGCCTAGAGGCATATGCGATAACTCTTCCATCTTGCATTAACACACAGCCCAATCCTTGATACGAGACATCACTATACACCACAAACTCTCCCTGACTTGAAGGTAGTGCAAGTACTGGTGCTGTGGTCAATCTCTTTTTCAGTTCATCAAAACTCTTTTGGCATGATTCATCCCAAACATACTTGGTATTCTTCCTCAACAGTTTAGTCAATGGTGCAGCAATTCTGGAAAATCCTTCGACAAACCGCCGATAGTAACCCGCCATGCCAAGAAAACTTCTCAACTCCGACACATCTTTTGGTGGAGCCCAACTCACCACTGCTTCCACCTTTTTCGGATCCACCTCAACACCTCTTCCAGATATTACATGTCCCAGAAATATTACCTCCTTCAGCCAAAACTCACATTTTGAGAATTTTGCATATAATTGTTTCTCTCTTAGAATTTGCAACACAATTCTAAGGTGAGTTTTGTGCTCCTCCTCGCTTTTAGAATAAATGAGAATATCATCTATGAACACAATCACAAACTTATCAAGATATTCATGGAAAACTCTATTCATAAGAGCCATAAATACTGCTGGTGCATTAGTGAGTCCAAAAGGCATTACCAGGAACTCATAATGCCCATATCTTGTTCTAAAAGCTGTCTTTGAGGTTGCTCCATCTGCCACTTTCAATTGATGGTATCCAGACCTCAAATCAATCTTAGAAAAGACTGATGCACCCTGCAATTGATCAAACAAATCATCTATTCTTGGAAGGGGATAACGATTCTTCACTGTCGCCTTATTCAACCTCCGGTAGTCAATGCACATTCTCATGGAGCCATCTTTCTTCTTGACAAACAAAACTGGTGCACCCCAAGGTGAGATGCTAGGTCGAATAAACCCCTTGTCTAACAATTCTTGCAATTGTTCTTTAAGCTCCTTCAGCTCAATTGGTGCCATTCTATATGGTGCCATTGAAATTGGTGTTGTGCCAGGTACCAATTCAATATCAAACTCTACTTCCCTTTCTGGTGGAAGGCCGGGAAGTTCTTCGGGGAATACATCAGGAAACTCCCTTACCACCTCTACATCCTCAACCTTCTTATCATTTACTACAGTAACTTGAGCAAGAAAGGCTTCACAACCTTCCTTCACTAATTGAAAAGCTTCCAAGGCAGAAAGAAAACCATGAGTCTCCTTTTTCTTAATGCCTCGGAATACAACAGGACCTTTATCTGGTGTGCTGAATAACACTTCTT